AAGCAATCCATGCATTTAAAGAAAATTGTACTATATATATATAAATAGGTCAGGCTCTAAATAGGGGGCCGAGCCTAGCTAGGGGTGTGTCTATAGTTGAGACTTGCACGATAGTTCATTTTACTTATGATGGAAAATTGTTTTCCATTTTAACGGTGTTGTGTTGTGCATTATCATGAGTTCCGCTAATCAAGGTCTTACGATTTGATCCGGTAGAAGACGAGTTATTATGCTTCGACCTAGAGCTATCGGATGGAAGGAATAAGAAACAAAGTCGAGTTAGTAAGGGATCGAGATTTGGTGGGAGGTAGTTAGCTCGATATAATAAAAGGTCGAGGTTTGCAGGAAATAGATAAGAAATTGTCTAAGAAAAACAGGTTGTATGAGGAAGGTGGTTCCTTATGTGACATAGAATCGCGAGATTTGGAAGATCTTATATATCGACTTGACAGAAACTAAATTTCTCATGCTAAAAAGTTTTCCTTGTAAAGGTATCTCTTAGTCAACAATATAATTGTATAACATTAACGTGTTGAAATTTCACTTAGGAGTTGACTCAAATTGATTATATGGAGAAAATAAATCCAGTTTATAATTCTAGTTGACTTTTTATTAAAATTTCATCATTTTTTTGTAGTGCCCGTCACACGATTTATATAGGAAATAACTTACTTAACGTAATGGATAATTGTGAAGTTAGACGCTACTTGTACATAAATTTGTGACATAAAAGGTGGAAAGAGATGAAGTGTGTCATATATATCAATTGTGAAGTGAAATAATGCCTTCTTGTACATAAATGTTTTTTAAAAAAAATCAAGTATGTCAATTGTATAATTTAAAGATGATATAATGGATTGGGCTCTATTATCTTCATTGATTTTTTATTTTATTTTATTTTTTAATTATTGATGAATCAACGTAAAAACTCTGATAAGAAAATGTTCACATCATTAAGGTGGAATTTTTCGTATGATGTGTGAAATAGAATTCTAGTATCAATCAGTTTAAGATTAATAGCTATGTTTGGAGCAAATTTTGGAATTTAAAATCTCACATTCTAATATTATTTTTTTCCACCCATATTTGTAGATGATATTAAAGATCCACCAACTCATAATGTGGCTCTACAAGCCTAAAAGATAATGCTCCTCAAGTCATGGAGCCCAAAGTCAAGTTCCCTAGGCCCAATAACTTTTAGAAATGCACATATTGGATAAAAGTTAAAACTACCTCATCAATTAGTTGATAGGTTAATAAGTGAATTTCGAGCTGATAGCTTATAACTTATGGTTAAAAAGCTAGTTGGTATTCTAAAAATATATAATAAAATTAGTTGATAAAACATAAATAAAAATTTCAATGAGCTTATTTAAGAAGTTACCAAACAATTTTATGCAATAAGCTCGAACTTTTTAAGAAAACTCGTACTACAAAACTAAACTTATTTATATCAAAAGGCATATAAACTAACCAAATAAACTTAAACTAGTTATATGTGATACTTGCCAAATACACTTTTAGTTATGTTGTTTAGGGCTGAGCATGGGACTCGGAGAATTCCGAACCGTCCCGAAAACCGAACCGAAATCACTCCGAACCGAAAAATATCCGTTGACCATTTGACTTTCTCCGAACCGAACCGAACCGAAGAAATAATTGGTACGGTTCTGGAGATTTCTTAAATATCCATACCGAGAACCGAACCGAACCGTCCCGTACCGTACCGAACCGAAGAACCGAAATTAAGAACCGAATTATTAAAATAGATGCGTATTATTAATATATTATATGTCAACTTTGATACTATATAATTTGAAAATACATAAAATGCAAATAAAATATAGTAATAACAATTAAGATTCACTTACATTTCATGTTTAGTAATACTTGATCTATAATTGAATTTCTCATATTTAAAAAGAAATAAGATGGAATGAAAGGTTAAAGATTTAAAAAAAATATTTAAGCTTTACTTAAAGTTGTCCATACTTAGCTTTAGTTTATCTTATAACTAACATGTTAGGGACGGTTAAATAAATATTATTTTAATATAAAATTGTATTATATTTTATTTGATTTTAAATTTTTAATGTTAGTTGAATTTAGTCTTAACTAAAAGTTAGGGTTACTTCTAAAGTTGATTTAAAAAAATCTTTAGTATGATGAAATATTGATGAATGTTGAATTTTTTTAAAAATAAGACATATAAAAAATAAAATATAACTATGTGGTCATTCAAAAAAATTTAAAAAATGATAAGAAATCTCCGAATATCCGAACCGAACCAAACCGAACCGAACCGTTCCGATAGTACCGAAAACCGAACCGAACCGAACCGAAAAATAAAAATCTCCGAACCGGACCGAACCGATTTTTTGGTACGATTCTGGAGATTGAATTTTAGTGATCTCCGAACTTCGGTACGGTTCTGGAGATTTATCAATCTCCGAACCGTACCGACCCATGCTCACCCATAATGTTGTTATTGAAGAACAGAATGAGACATGATAGCATGCACTATAAACAATCGTTCGACCCATTAGTTGACTAATCGAATTGGATTTGCTTATTAATATCAACTAGTCAAACTCAAATATTATGACTCATCGAATCAGCCAATAGGTGAAACGTGTTGAGGTTCGTTCATTGAGCTAATAGCTAATTAAACATGTTCGAGTTCATTCGTTTATCAAGCACAAAAACTCAAATTTTAATGATTTACGTTAATTTAAAATTTCACTTAATGAGTTCTTTAAGTGCCTTCTTAAAACACATTTTAACCTGAAATAATATTCTACCTCACTTCACCAAAGCTGATGGAGACGAGATCATAATGGCGTGTATGAACAAATACAATCGAATCCTGATGGAGACGAGATCATAATGGCGTGTATGAACAAATACAATGGAATCCTAGCAAGTTGGGTGTTTGAACTACTAGAAACTTTATTTATTTATCTACTCGTCATTAGCCGCAAAGAATAATTGGACGATAATTTTGAGATTTGTTCTCTGGAACGACGGAGTTTCAGATGGAGAACGATGGCAACAACAGAAACGAAGTCTTGCCTTCACAAGCTCTGCAATCCCTATCAATTTCCCCTCAGCCACAGTAATCTCTGCTAATTTCTTGTTTCAAATTACAATTTTGTAATTCTTTACTTTTTTTCTTTTTGGTTTGAATTTGATTTTGATTGGTCATAGCTTTATTTGAGTCTTGAATTGTTGGATTGAGCTGTTGTGTAGGTTGAGCGTCCAAGAGAGGTTCGAAATAGTAAGGAGCATTGGTGAAGAGTGCATTCAGGAAGATGAGTTGCAGAGATTATTGGCCAACAAACCCCAGCCCATTTGCTATGACGGGTTTGAACCCTCGGGAAGAATGCATAATGCTCAGGTCGTTTAATTATTTACTGTATATTTTAACAAGACTCTATTTTGCTTATGGGTTTTGCATTTCCCTTCTTGAAGGGTCACTTAGTTCGATTGTGATATCTCAAAGTGTAAGTGAATTTGGTGCTTGTATTGGAGTTACTCCATTGGGTACTTTAATTGTGGATATTCTCGACTTGACTTATGGCGACAGTTAATAAGGAGCAAATTTTGTTAACTGGCCGTGATGATCTAGTGTAGTTGTGTGATACAATAATTGTCAATTGTGTTACTGTATATACTCCCTGCATCCCGGAAAGATATGCATATAGCTTTTCATGTCGATGTAGAAACGTTAGTTAAATAGCTAAAGGTGTTGTCTTTTCCATTCAGGCACGGGCGTCTATATAACCGACGTTCAGTTTCATCATCGTTTTTGTAAAATCTAATCTAGATAAATGTGCTAGTGGAATCCCATGCTAATAAATTACTGTACATGGAAATGAAAAACTATTTACATGACCTATTTTTCTGGGATGAAGGAAGAACGAGGGATTTACTTGTATAATTTACATAATTTTATGATGCGGCTTGTTGTATATGACTGAACAGGGTGTTATGAAGGCAATTAATGTGAACAAGCTGACTTCTGCTGGCTGCAAAGTGAAGATATGGATTGCAGATTGGTTTGCTCAAATGAAAAACAAAATGGGTGGCGACCTGGAGAAAATCCAAGTGGTAGGGCAGTACCTGATCGAGATATGGAAAGCTGTGGGGATGAATATTGAAGGAGGTCAGGTCGAATTTCTATGGTCTTCTGAGGAGATCATTTCTCGGGCTCATGAGTACTGGCCTCTTGTTTTGGACATAGCAATGAGGAACAAGCTTCCTAGGATAGTCAGGTAGAGATCCCGTTTTTTGTATTTTAATCGATTGTCTGTGTATTTAGTATCATCTATTTTAATTT